AAAAAAAAAAAAAAAAGAATGAGTCAAGGGGGAAAAAATAGACTCCTAGGTCTGAAAGGTACCTGGGGGCCAGATCACGTAGGACCTTTAGACCATTAGAAGGGCTTCAGCTTTGACTACGACAGGGGGTCATTAGAGGGCTTTGATCAGAGAGAAGGACATGATCTGACTTAAGATTTAACAGGATTCCTCTCTCTGCTGTGCTGAGAATAGACTCTAGGGAGTCAAAGGCAAACGATAATGGTCATTAGGACCAGGATGGTCACATCGGAGGTAACATCTAACTTCGGATGTATTTTGAAAATAAAGTTGATGGGAACTGCTGACAAAGTGTATGTGGGGTGTGAACGAAAGAGAAGAATTCAACACGGCCTGAGTGGCTTTTGGCCTGAGTGGCTGGAAGGATGGAGGTGCTGTTACTGACATGGGGATGAATGTGGTGGGTTTGGGGGTGACGATCAGTTTTGGACATGTTGCGTTGAAAATGCACAGTGGACACGCAAGTAGAGCTGGAAAATGGGCAGTGGGATATATGAATCCAGAGTTTAAATACATATATTTGCATTTGGTAAGTCAGTTGATTTAAAGAAAACAAATAATAGAGGTAGTATATGCATCTGGCGAAAATCATGACGGAAGCGCAGGAGGGGGTGGCCTTGGGGGAACACTGTGGCAGGCGGGCAGAAGCCAGAGGCGGTCCTGAGAGGGGAGGGCGTGTGTGGGGGAAGAAGAGCTGACCCCTCGCCTCCCCCATCTCCTGTCACTTCCATCCTAGGGCAGAAATGTGAGCTGTGGCTCTGCGGATGTGCTTTCACCCTTGCTGATGTCCTCCTGGGAGCCACCCTGCACCGCCTCAAATTCCTGGGACTGTCCAAGAAATACTGGGAAGATGGCAGCCGGCCCAACCTGCAGTCCTTCTTTGAGAGGGTCCAGAAACGCTTTGCCTTCCGGAAAGTTCTGGGCGACATCCACACCACTCTGCTGTCAGCAGTCATCCCCAACGCGTTCCGGCTGGTCAAGCGGAAACCCCCATCTTTCTTTGGGGCATCCTTCCTCATGGGCTCCCTGGGTGGGATGGGCTACTTTGCCTACTGGTACCTCAAGAAAAAATACATCTAAAGCCAGGCCCCAGGCTTGGTGTCTGACTGTTGGTGTCTCTGTCCTGTGCGATTCCCAGTGAGCTCTCAGTAACGCACCGTCTCATGCACACTTGGACAGCCCCTCCCACCCCTTGTTCGGAGTAATTCTATCGTCAGTCTGAAAACATTCCATAGTTTAGGAGTAGATGTTGCCAGTGTCGTGAGTTGAGGCCACGGTTCTACTGAAGGAGAGAAAGAGTGAGTGGGGGAGAGAGAGAGAGAGAGAGAGAGAGAGAAACAAACAAAAACACGAATGCCTTTTTTTTTCGATTCAAGGTCTCAAGATGGAACTGTGGGGACTGGTTAGGATCCAAGGTGAGTCCCAGGTCATTTCATTCACCAGGGCCCAGATTCTGGGAGGTGCTGGGGGCCCGGAGGGCCTGACCCCTCGCCTCCCCTTCCCTCTTGCCCAGGGAACTCTTCCACAGGACAAAGCCAACATCAAGACTTGACTCTTCTAAGCGCTACCTCCGGGTGGGGCTGGAGACCTGGAGACCCCACGGGAGGCCCCTGAAGACTGGAAGGGGCTTCATTCTCCTCCTGGAACTGAGACAGCACTGGCCGAGCCAAGGCAGTGACTTGTAGCCACAGGCCATGTCTGGGGCCGACGCCATGAGCACACCCTCCCATTCCCCTCTTGATTTGGCCAGTGTGCTTGGTCTGGCACTTTACTGGAAGTCCCTGAAGGCAGTGTCCATCCTCCTCTTCCCACCCAGAGCTGAGTTTTCCCACCATGTGAGGTGGACTTTCAGGAAGAGCCACACTGATCTTCTCTCAGAAGTTCAGCCCTGGCCGGAGTGCAGGGGTGGGTCTGGAGGTGGATGGCCTTCAGGTCCCTCCTCCAGACTCTGCCAAAGCCATCTCTGTTAACGTCTGCCTTCCCCTTCACTCTCAGGGCTCCCCCCACGCCCTACCGTGCCGTGCAGGGGGGTTTCTGCGTCCACGCTGCCCGTCCTTGCGGCGTCTCACTTCCCTGTGCCTTTTGCATGTTGGGAGAGGGTCTGGGTGTCACTGCCGCTCATGCTTAGAAACCACTGAAAGCTCCCAATAAAAAGCATCAAGGAGGAGCAGCTGCTTTTCATTTCTAAACCTGTGTTGTCCATCTAGTTCTCGTTTCCAGAGTTTGGGGCCAGAGGGGTGGAGGTACGATGTTGAGACTCAGTGAGTCTGACTCTCCTGACTCTCACCAATGTTTTGACCATTTCACTTCTGGTGAGAAGGAAGAGATGGCTGATGGCTGCTTGGGGGGCCCAAGGCTGGATCTGGGGAGGCCACGTCTTTTGTTTGTTTTTTGGCTGCACCGCATGGCTTAAGGAATCTTCGTTCCCCAACCAGGGATCAAACCCGGGCCCGAGGCAGTGAAGCTCTGAGTCCTAACCACTGGACTGCCAGGGAATTCCCACGGCCAGGTTTTATCTGATAGGAAAGGATAGACAGGATGTTAGAGCACATGTCCAGTACTTTAAGGCCCAGCTGTTGAAGAGGGTCATGTGACTTCCACACACCATCCATGGGTGAGAATTTAATTACCAGGCTTCACCCAGCTGCAAAGGAGGCTGGGAAGTGTAGTCTGTGATTGGGCAGCCTATTGCTAAGGAAGGAGAGAACAGATCCTGGTGGACAGCCAGCAGCCTCTGACATAAGGAAGCACTGAATGGGAAGAGGCCCAGGTAGACTGCTGGAGAGAACCATAGACTCAAAGACTCCACAGGCCCCACCTGCCTGTTCCACATGTGCAGAAACTGAGGCCTGGGATGGGCACGTGTCTGGTTTGGTCAGGATCGCACAACAAGTGAGCTAGAGCTAAGTGTGCTTTCCCTGGTCCCTTTCTGTCTCGGAATGTCATGGAGAGCAGCTTGGGTGTGGAAGAGTCAACATGCGTACGTTTACTCAGAATCCATCAGCTGCTGCACCTTCTACCACGGG